GGGAGAAGGTGATGGGAATTCAGCCTTGGGAATGTTAACTTTGAGAGGCTGTTAGTCAACTGGGGCGGTTAGATGGATGTATGAATCTGGAGCTCAGGAGACAGATCTGGGCTGGAGATACATTTTTTTATATAAATTGTCATATTTATGGACACCATTTCTTCCTAAGGGCATGCAGCTCTTATTTTATAATGGAAACCATCTGAGATCATCGCCAGCATCAGTCATACTTTGGCCACATATATTGGCTTCGTTTTTTTGTTGTGTCCAGATGCCCGACTAGATTGCAAACTTCCAAGGGCATGGTCCTCCCTCCATCAGATTGTGCTTCCAGCAAGGGAGCTAGCACTTCTCTCAACCCACATCTGGGTCCATCATAGATGGGATCCTGACCTAAGTCCACAACTGCTCAAGCTGGGCCTCTTTAGGGTACAGGCTGGGTCTGGGTCTTCTCCATGTCCCCACTACCCAGGGAGACTCATACATGTAAGCCTGCCTCAGGGGCAGTCATCTCAGTGACAACCCCCTCTCCCATACCTCTGCAGCCCAAGCCTCAGAATGCAGTCACCATCGCTGTGTCCTCCCGAGCCTTGTTTCGCATGGACGAGGAGCAGCGGATCTACACGGAGCAGGGCGTGGAGGAGTACGTGCGCTACCAGCTGGAACATGAGAACGAGCCCTTCAGTCCCGGCCCTGCCTTCCCCTTCGTGAAGGTGAGGGGGCAGTTCCACCACTAGCTCATACAGCGCCTTTGTGGGGATTAGAACAAAGCACTCCCACAGGTATTTGAGTAAGGAAAAAGGGCCCCTCTGGGCAGATGTAACCACACGGGTGCACAGCTTGGCTAGGTGACAGAGCCTTTTGGGAAGAAAATTCGTCCACCCTCTGGAAGAAAGCAGCCCCACGCCTGGTAACCAGCTTGGTGAGTGGAATGCCGGCTGGATTTCAGCCCCGACTCTCTCCAGCTAGGTACCCCTGAGCGGTAAGCAACTTGCATTAGGAGAAGGTAGTTCATGCGCACTGATCTCATCCCAAGCATGGCTCCTCACCTCCCCTCATTGGATCCTTGGCCACCAACTTCAGGTATCAATCCTTGGGGGTCTAAGCTGGGGGATGCCCTCTCCCTTCCAGGCTCTGGAGGCTGTGAACAGGCGGCTGCGGGAGCTGTACCCCGATAGCGAGGACGTCTTCGACATTGTCCTCATGACCAACAACCATGCTCAAGTGGGTGTCCGCCTCATCAACAGTATCAACCACTATGGTGAGCATGAGCATGAGAATGGGGGGTTTGCCCTGGGACACCCCTACCAGACCCCCAGGGATGGGGCCACACCTCTGCAGGATGGAGTTGTACTGACCGGAACCCCAAGCCCAGTGTGTGCTGGTAAATTCCCTCTTTAAACAAACAAACAAAACCCTGATTTGTAGTGTTGCTAGTTTTCAGGGTGTAAATATTTCCACCAGGACTGGTTTCAAGCTATCAGTGGTTGAACAATACAAATGGCTCACAAAATTTCTGAGTGTTTAACTGTGGGCTCTTGCAAGCCTGTCCAAGTCAGCTCCAGCACACCCCACTCTCAGTGTGATTAGGTGGGACACTTACTGCCTCCCTGCCTCAGTTTCTCTAACAGTAATGGGGCTAACAGGTCTCACAAGGTTGCTGGGAGAATCAGGTGCAGCTGTCAGAGTGAAAGGGCTTTGCGTCTTAGTCTAAACTCAAGGTTAAAAATAATAGACCCTCCAGAGCTAGCTTAAGCCCAGGAGAATTTCTTATTAGGTTACAGGGGTGTCTTTCAGAGGACAGGAAATAAAATTGGGCCTACAAAGGCCTGAATCCAAGTACTGGAAATCTCTCCCAGGATCTTCTTTTCTTCAGGCCACATGAACATTTATTTGTGCTTCTCTAGCAAGTTTGCTCTTTTTTTTTTCCTCTCTCCCCTGAAATTGGATTTCTCTGCTTTTCCTAAATAAAAACCATATTCAAGAAAACCGGGCCAGGCGCGGTGGCTCATTCCTGTAATCCCAGCACTTTGGGAGGCCAGGGCAGGTGGAACAGTTGAGGTCAGGAGGTCAAGACCAGCTTGGCTAATATGGTAAAACCCTGTCTCTACTAAAAATACAAAAATTAGCCTGGCGTGGTGGTGCACACCTGTAATCCCAGCTACTCAGGAGGCTGAGCCATGAGAATCACTGGAGAGAAGAGGAGAGGAGAGGGGAGGGGAGGGGAGGGGAGGGGAGATCCACTTTGGGGAGAGAGAGAGAGACAGAAAAATAATACACCTGGCGGGGCTCGGTGGCTCGCGCCTGTAATCCCAGCACTTTGGGAGGCCGAGGCGTGCAGATCACGAAGTCAGGAGATTGCGACCACCCTGGCTAACACGGTGAAACCCTGTCCCTACTAAAAATACAAAAAAATTAGCCGGGTGTGGTGGTGGGCACCTGTAGCCCCAGTTACTCGAGAGGCTGAGGCAGGAGGATGGCATGAACCCGGGAGGCAGAGCTTGCAGTGAGCCGAAATCACGCCACTGCACTCCAGCCTGAGCGGCAGGCAGAGCGAGACTCTGTTAAAAAAAAAAAAAAAAAAAAAAAGAATACACCTGTATTTATAGGTTTACAAGGCCTGGTTTTTAGCAACCAAAAGAGTCTAGTAGGCATTTTTAAATCCTAATTTCAAATTGCTGGGAGCAGGATTGATATTAAAAATGTTTAAACACCTGTGTGACATCCACACTGCGTAATCAGGACGGACTCTCCCTATAGTGCTGAAGCAGGGCTCTGAAGGACCCCTGCCATACTAGGCATTACCACCTTCTGTTGTGGACTCTGGGGAGGACGGAGGTCCTGGGTAAGGGGCTGCGAGAGTGACGGGTAACTTAAATGGGCTCAGAGCAGCAGCCGGTTTATCAACCAACAAATACTTGACAACCTTTGCAGTCATGAGGACCAGCGGACTGGCAGCCTAGGTAATCAGATTGGCTCAGCTTGGGTCAGGTGTCTGCTCTTATCCAATCAGCTATGACTAGGAGGCGGGGTCACACAAGCATGTAGCACTGTGATTCCTTGACAAGAGGCTGTCCCTGTGAGTTGGGCAATTGCTCTAGAGATGTGATTGTCCGCACTTCATGAAGGATGGAGGGGCTCGGAGGGGAACACTGGCCTAAAATCACACAGAGACACTCTGTGCTGCCGTACCACACCCAGAACTAGGATGGCGTCCACTGGACACAGAGAGAAGCCCAGGGTTGACCCTGGCCTCATCTGGGTCCTTTACCTCCTTCCCAGACCTGTTCATCGAGAGGTTCTGCATGACAGGCGGGAACAGCCCCATCTGCTATCTCAAGGCCTATCACACCAACCTCTACTTGTCAGCCGATGCGGAAAAAGTGCGAGAAGCCATTGATGAAGGTAAGTCCAAGTGAGGAGGGAGAATATGGGGAGTGCAGCAAAGGGGTCCCTGAGGTGGAAGGCCTGGTCCTAAAGTTCTGAGCAGGTGCTGGGAGTTGCCATGGTAACTAGAAGGCAAGGCTACCCGATACTTTCCTTAATTCTTATAATCTGTCCTATAAGTTCTGAAAGCAAGGCCCTACCCATTCCATCTTCCTACTTCTGGCCCTACTGTGTCATGGATGCTTTTACTACTCAGCATCACCCAGCTTTCTGTTTCCATGGAAACCCTCTCTACAGCCCAGACAGCTACTTTCTTCCATGATTTCTCCAAGTCAGAAGGAGTTCTGATTCCTGTAGAACCAAAGGCAGCCTCTGCCCTGTCCTGGGCCAATGGGGAGGAGGATTCGTATCTAGTCCAGCCTGAATGGTAGGGTCTGGGGAATGGCCATCATCTCCAGCAGCTGGGCTGGCCAGTGCTTAGGGGAGTTTAGGAGACCCAGATGCAAGTACTGACAAAGAGAATGTCCCTCTATGTGTGTCTTCTTTATTTTTTTTATTTTTTTATTTTGATTTTTTTATTTTTGAGACGGAATCTCACTCTATCTCCCAGGCTGGAGTGCAGTGGCGTGATCTCGGCTCACTGCAAGCTCTGCCTCCTGGGTTCACGCCATTCTCCCCCTTCAGCCTCCGAGTAGCTGGGACTATAGGCGTCCGCCACCATGTCCGGCTAATTTTTGTGTTTTTAGTAGAGACGGGGTTCCACCATGTTAGCCAGGATAGTATGTGTGTCTTTCCAGGGGCAGTTTTGGGTGGTATCCATATTCTCAGTCCTCCCAACGAGGTGCGTATCCTATTGCAGGTGGGAGAAAACAGGCCCGTACAGGAGAAAGGACTGGCCACCTGCCTGAGAGGGCTCGTTAAGCTGAACACTAGTGGCAAGTTTCTTTATCAACCAACAATATATTCACTTTTCTCTTCCTCTTTCATGTTGCCTGCTGCCTGGAAGCCTGGTCTCTCTCCCCCGATAACTCACTCCCCTGAGCTGCTTTGGAGCTCCTACGAGGCTTTCTTTAACCAGGAACCAGGAGCCATTTTTCTAGACAGATGTCACACCCTCTGGTTGGGGCCTTGACACTGGCATGTAGGTGTGCCTCTGTGTGTTCGTAACTTGACCTCAGGCTAAGGAGCAAGAAAATGGTCCACGGGGAGGCCCTGCTGAGGGTAGGGGTGGTTCTGGATCATCTTGGTTCCAGTGCTGGCGGAGCTGAGAAGGTGCTTGGCTTGATGCCTGGCACTGGCCCTGCTTGTAGCATCCTCAGGCTAGTGAAGTTGTGTGCGGGTAGCACTGCTCACTCCTCCCAAAGCTCACCTAAGCCCAGCCTCTGTGATCCTCAGTTCTCAAAGAGTTGGGCTGAAGTGGTCTTTGAAGAGATGGAGACTAGGGAATGGGCTCAGCTAGCAGCCCAGGTCTCCAGCCTCCAGCACTGGCTTTCTGCCATCTAGTGCAGCTCTAGCCTGGAGCCTGAACCCCTGAGAGGCATCCTTGGATCCCTGGAGGAGCCCGGGGTTGCAGAGAGTTTGTGCACACAACTAGCCATCACTTGTGCTGTCTCCCAGGGCCACCTAGGTTGTTTTCTGGAACCCTGAACAGCTGCCAGTAGGGCATACCTGGGTGTCATTGTGGCTGTAGACTGACGGTGCCCGTACTCACCTCACCCGATTGCAGCCTATGGTTTCAGCCCCAGAGGTGAGAGGCCCTTAATTTTACAGTGGTCCAGAGAAGGTGAGTGACTTGCTAGAACCAATGGTGAGGGAGTGACTGAGGCTAAGCCAGAGTTGGGGCTCCTTCCAGCCCCAATGTAGGTCTACAGCAGGGGTTGTAAAGCACCCCTGGCAGGAAGGCAGTGGCCAGTGGGACTCATGTTTGGCTGGTCCACAGCAGCATGATCTTACTAGGGGTCTAAGTATTGAAATTCCTTCACACTGGTTGGTAAATAGTTCCTGCCCTGAGTCCTGAGTGCCCTCCTCCCCCCCGGGACTCCTCCCAGACTTTTCCACAAAGCAATAACCAACAGGGTAACCTGGCAAGGCAAGGGCCCTAGAGATCTGCTTCAGAGCCACTGCTGCTGCCCTCTTCGTGGCCAGGATCCATGCACTACCAGTTTTTACGTGTTTTAAATATTAGTTTTTATCAGCCTTGCCCTGAGTCCTGTATGAGGCAGATGGGGCAAGGACAGCCTAAGTTAACCCGCTCTGGCCCTACTGCCCAGCCTGAAGGCAGATAATGCTTGCCTCTCTCTGCCTAGGGATCGCAGCTGCCACCATCTTCAGCCCCAGCAAGGACGTGGTTGTGTCCCAGAGTCAGCTGCGCGTGGCCTTCGACGGGGACGCTGTGCTCTTCTCGGATGAGTCGGAGCGCATCGTCAAGGCCCACGGGCTGGACCGATTCTTCGAGCATGAGAAGGCCCACGAGAACAAACCTCTGGCTCAGGTGCTCCATATAGAGCCAGAACCCCTGAGAGGAACAAGGCAGCTCCCCAGATCCGCCCTTGGCCTGCACTCCCAGCCTGGAACCAAACAAACCCCAGGCTCAGCCCAGATTCCAGCCCGGTCCCGTCAACCCTCTCACTTGACCACTGGCCCCCCATCAATGAGCTTCCACCCACTTTGTTGAGCCCACATCCCCTCACTGAAGTCCGAACCCCACTTTGAAGCCTCCATTCTCTAAGCCCATACCCACTCTCTGCAGCTCAAATCCCCATTTCTGAGGCCTCCTTTCCCTGCCTGATGTCCCCATTCTCTACATCCCCCCGTTCTCTGAAGTCCCTGCCCTGCTCTGAAGGCCTCATTCTGTTTCTCTGAAGCTCCCATCGTCTCTCTGGAACCCTCACTTCCTCCCCTGAGATCCCCCACCCCTCTGAGAGCATGCCCACCCTCTTAAGAAGCCTGTTTCCCTCCCTGGAAACAGGAGGAAACGAACTGCTGGACTGGGACACCTCACTGGGGCAGGGAGATCCAGCTGGGTGTGGCATCTGGGGCAGACCATTTGCTTTGGGACACCTCCTGCCATCCATCCCTTAGCTGGGGGCATAGGGACACTCACTCACCCTCAAACTGCTCAGTGTCTCTCAGAACAGAATATACCCTAGAGCTTGGTGGAAATTCCCTGGAATTGGGGCTTTTGGACTCTCCAGCTCTGCTGGGAGCTCCTATTTGAGCTTTTAACAAAAATCTGCATGCTCAATAATCTCAGAGCCCCCCGCTCCAAGAGCTCAGCAGGTTTCAGTTGTGGCTCCTAAATATTCAGTTCACATCTGTTCTTGTGAGTTGCCTCTGAAATCCTTGAGAATCCAGGGCAGGAGAGTTATCCTACTAAGTGGTAAGCAGAGGCCCAGGAGACCACTGCTTATTCCAGTTCACCTAGCAAGCAAGAGGTCTCCAAGACGAGGAGCCCCCTTTTGTTTATTTCTAGCTGCTTTGGAAATAAGCAGTTTTCTTCATTGTCGTCTGCCTTTTTATTCTCACATCCTCAGGAAGCTTCATTGTTCTGGGCACTGTAGAGAATAAATTCTTTCCCTGACCCTAGAGAGCTTGAGGATGACACCCTGAGCCACCTGGGTGCCAGATGGGCATGGTTGATACTCAACAGTTACACATTTGCCCATCTTCTCCAGCTGTTTACAGCTGGAGTCCATTCTGATTGAAGGGTGCCCATTGCCATAGTTACTAGTTTTAATATCCTCCCTGTTGATGGGCACAAAAGGCCACACTTACAGAGCTTCAGGACAGACATCTGTATACCTTGATGGGCATATGGATGGAGGATACATATCAACAGTTGCCCTGAGAGTTATTCTGACCCTGCACCAGTATGCAATAACACAGTTCCCCTGACTGGAGCCCCACTGGCGCACACAGCAGCATAAGCAGGCATGAGCAGAACTAACCGAAAGATTTAGGGATCCTGAACTTTTAACACCAAACAAGACACTAGTGCTTTAGAGAGAGCAAGGGGCAAGTATTTGGGAGGTGGTAGAGCTAACAGTGTTCCCCTTGCCTTCTCATAGGGCCCCTTAAAGGGCTTTCTGGAGGCACTGGGTAGGCTGCAGAAGAAGTTCTACTCCAAAGGCCTACGGCTGGAGTGCCCAATTCGTACCTACTTGGTGACAGCACGCAGTGCAGCCAGTTCTGGGGCCCGGGCTCTCAAGACCCTGCGCAGCTGGGGCCTGGAGACAGATGAAGCCCTGTTCCTCGCTGGAGCGCCCAAGGGCCCCCTCCTAGAGAAGATCCGCCCACACATCTTCTTCGATGACCAGATGTTCCATGTGGCTGGCGCTCAGGAGATGGGCACCGTGGCCGCCCATGTGCCTTATGGCGTGGCACAGACACCCCGACGGACTGCACCTGCAAAGCAGGCCCCATCTGCACAGTAGCTGAACCACCAGCTTTACTGATCCACATTGCTCCAGGCTCCCTGAAATACTTCGACACGTCCTCTGGTAGATCCCTCTAGTTTCTCACTGTTCTGTGCTTCTGCCTGATTGCCCGCATCCCTATGAGTGATGTACTTGTAGGAAATTATGCAGACGGAACTGGCATTCTCAACATCCCTCCTTTAGGGCAAATTCTGTGCCATGGTCCTGAGTAGGACAGTAGGATTGTGCAGAGTAGCTGGATTTCAGGGGGAAGTTAATGGGTCTGAGAGAGGGAGGGTCAGAGAAGCCAGATTTCTCAAAAGGGACTTAGAATGAAAACTAACTCAATGTGGTGGAAAGAACACTGCTATGGGAGAGAGTAGATCTGGCTTCTAAGCTCTGTCCTGGAATTAACTGCATGACTTTGGGTAATCCCTCCCCTTCATGGGCCCCAGTTTCCCCATCTTTTGGTTTTCAAGCTCCCTTTTAGCCAAAGAAGCTTGGTTCTTTAAGATCGCCCTCTTAGAAGGAAGCGTTCTATGTCAGTGCTGCTGCTGGTATGTATGGCACCTTTGTGCAGATTACAAAAGGACACTGTCTAGGTGAATGAAGAACAAAAAGACAGCCCCTCCTCTGGCCTGACCCAGTCTCATGCTGGGATACACAGCTTAGTTAGCAGGATAGAGGCTGGATTTCACTCCCCATGTGTCCTTCAGCTCAGAGGCCTCTGTCAAATGGACAAAATGCAAAATCGCCCCCAGTAACTCTATCTATAATTTTACACATTTTGAAACCACTGGACAAGATGACCTACCTGCCCCTGTGATTCTCTAACCTGAGTGGTCATCAGGGCTCAGCCCAGGAAGCAAGGGGAGTGAATTGAACATGCATACAAACTCTCCTCGAGCCAGCAGGGGGCACTGCAGGCTCTTCCCGGGGAGGAGTTTTAGTAGCTGCCTGCTCAGTGTTTCCTTTGCTCTTGCTTTGAGCCAAAGTTCAGTTGCTCCTGCCTGCCAAGACCCTCACTTCCACCGCCCTCACTCCCCCAGCTATTGCATCTTGTTGAACAGCTCTGCTGGTGGGGAACGGGGCAGAGCATCAGTGTCTACTGTTGTGGCCCCAATTCTCGGGGAAGAAAGTGCAATAGATGAGGTAGGCGGTTGTCCAGGCTGAGCCCCAGGGTGAGGTGCTGCCTGGGGTGAAGTGGGAGGTGTCAGGAGGTCTGGTGTGAGACAAAGGGTACTGACAAAGTGACGCTTGGAGAGGAAGGAGCTGAAATGTGCACCAGCAAACTTCTCCAGCTATGGGATTGTGAGTGGAAGGCCAGTCAGAGCTGTCTTTGGAGGTAATGAGCTCTCCATCACTGGATGCTGTGCAAGGGCTTCCAGGATGAGATGACCTCCCCATGAAATGCATCAGCGGATCCTCCACATCTGCAGGAGCCCCTGCGGCCCCTTCTTCACCACTTTCAGAGAACTCTCACCACTTGATGAGTCAGCCTCCTCTTTTGCTGAGCATCCCCGGCTCTCTCCGAAGGGAGGGTAGAAGCACCAATGGCTGGCCCCCAGGAAGACGGAACGGGTGAGCAGACATCTGTGTGTGGACTGGTTGCCAGGCTTCTAGGAGGAATCCTAGTCATGAGCAAGCACTTTGTAAAGAAAACCAGAAGTGTCATGAGAGGGGCAGGAGCCTGGAGGTATGGTGGCAGGAAATGGGGGAGGAGAGCACCCTGGGGTTTTTGATCTTTGACCTTCTGGGGACTCAGCTCAGGGTCTGAATGGGTTCTGTGCAGTGTGGGGCAGGGTAAGAGATGCAGAAAGATATTCCAGGAAGGAGAACAAAGTGAGAAAGCAGAGGTGGTTCTCAAAATGAGCAATGATTTGGGCCACAAGGGCTGGGCTGGGCTTCTGCTGGCATTGTCAGAGGTCTCCACGAAGCTGGTCCCAGGGAGGAATGGTATGACTGTGTGGAATGACTAGGGCAGACACCCACAGTGACTGCTTTATCAGGGGACAGTGGCATTATTGCCCCTAGAAGGGCATATGATGATGTCTTTGCACGAGGTCATTTCCACTGCATAGCCAGGATCCTTCTGGCTAACAGAGGAGGCCTTGGGGGCAGAAGACCAGGATTGTCTCTACTTCCAGAGCTCCAAGCCTAGACAGAGGTACTGTGAGGGCCAAGGACAACCTCAAGGAAACAAAAAAGAAGTGAAGGAGGGAGCTGAGCCCCTGAGTCACCTTCATTCTTGGCTGAACTGCAGAAAGGCCCTCTCCTCACTGCCAGGGGTCAGCATCACCCCCGTGGAAGAGCCTCCAAGGCTCACAGAACTAGTGACTGCAAGAAGCCTACAAGGCCGGGCACAGCCCAGGCTCACAGCATGGCAACAGGCTGCCTGACCAGGGTGGACCTGTGCACTGGAGGCAGCACCAGATGTCACCTAATTAAGATAAACTGCAGGGATTCTGGGACCTGTGTGGTCTTGCCCCCAGGGCCTGGTGATGAACACCACTGATGATTCCATGTCTCTCAGGAAGCAGGAAAATATGATGCTGGAAGCAGAAAGATAAGGTGCAGCAAAAGCCATGGATTTCACTGGAGCCATCATTAATAGACACAGACAGCCCTGGGCAATGGAGAAAACACTAAGAGTCTAAATTCTATTATTGAAATCACAAACGAGCATCTCAGGCCTGGAAGAAAGCTTTCAGTCGCTGGAATAGAAATCTGCGGCGGCAGTCTCAGGCAGCAGTTACACGGGCCTCCTGATTGTCTTAGAGGTGAGGAGGTGCCCAGGGATGAGGAACACTGAGTGTCGTGTCACCAGGAAATTAAAAAGCCAGGAGAGCACCAAAGTCCCAGGCCTAACCAGGGAATGCAGCACTGAGGCGGAGCAGCCACGGCTTCTGAAACACTGGACCCCTTTAGCTGAGAGCACCACTTCCCCAACAAGCCCTGCAGAACACTGGTTCCAGGAGATGCCTGCCAGCAAAATCCCAGAGCCAATGGGACTGCTGCTTAGCTGAAAACTGAAGGCCCTGTTACTAAGCACTGAGACTGCTCAGCCAGTTGCAAAACATCCCCCTCTCCTATCTGAGAGCCCAATCAGAGTAGTGGGGATATATCAGAATATGCCAGAAAAAAACCAGAAGCTAGCAAGAAGTTCAAAGCCAAGATGGATTTGGCATTATAATGACACTCAATTTGTGTGCACCAGTACAGCCAAACTGATGACTAAAATCTTGAAATACCTCCATACCAGTTGGTAAATAATGCTGCGCTGAGTCCCCTGAATGTCTCTTCGTGGTCTCAGCTGACCCTTCCACTGTGAACGCTCCCTTTTCCCACAATGCAGCCTCCAGGAGGCCGCGGTGGCACTATGGCCAGTGTCTACTCTGTTTTGTGGTGTCCTGGCCATGCTGGTTTAGGGAGGTAAAGTAACTTGCCCAAAGCCATAGAGCTAGTAAGTGGCAGTGCTGGGACTCAAACTCATGTCCATCTGATGCTAGGACCCAGGTTTTCAACCATTTTGTCATACTGCTCATACATAGGCATGGAGATAGCCAGAGAAGCTCCATTCTGAGGTCTTCACTAAAGGAGTTTACTTACCCAACAGTTAACATGTTGATTTCCTGCATGGTGAAATGCTGGAATACATTTGAGTGGGTGCTTTTATTATAACTTCCTAAACAGCTAAAAATAATTTAAATTAGAGCCAAACATTTGCAAACACCTGGAAGCACTTTCAAACAATCCCAAGTTCTGAGAAACCCAGTGTGAAGACCCCTGTTTTGGGCTAATGCAGAGTTTGGCAAACTCTGGGCCCATGGGCCAGATCTGACCCATCACCTGTTGTTGTAAAGAAACTCTGATTGGGGCCAGGCGTGGTGGCTCACGCCTGTAATCCCAGCACTTTGGGAGGCTGACTGCGGGTGGATCACAAGTTCAAGAGATCGAGAGCATCCTGCCCAACATGATGAAACCCCATCTCTACTAAAAATACAAAAATTAGCTGGGTGTGGTGGCGCATGCCGGTAGTCCCAGCTACTCAGGAGGCTGAGGCAGGAGAATCGCTTGAACCCGGGAGGCAGAGGTTGCAGTGAACCGAGATCACGCCGCTGCAGTCCAGCCTAGCAACAAAGTGAGACTCCATCTAAAAAGAAAAGAAAAGAAAAAGATAAAGAAAAGAAACTGATTAGAACACAGCCATGCCCATTTGTTTACCTATGTTTATGACTGATTTTGCACTGCTACAGCAGAGTTGAATTGTTGCAACAGAGACTGCAAACTAAAAATATTTACTATCTGGCCCTTTACAGAAAAATGTGCGGACCTCTGGGCTAAGGCAGACAGCCTGGCTGACGCCTCAGTGGGACGAGCCAGGTCACATCCACCTATGCATCTGTGGGCGGAGGTTGGCTCCACTGCCGAGGGGAAGGGACATGGGGGCTCCATGCCCATCTAAAGATTCCAAGTTTTGACTATTTTCAAGCGACCCATGGTTCATGATAATTTGCAGTTTTGTCGATGTACTGATTTGACTTGGGTGTGCTCTCCCAAGCTGATGAGTGAGAGGGCAGGAGCAGGGCCCTTGGCTGGGGATGAGCCCAGCTGGCTGTCCAGCATGGCTTTGTATTCCCGACTGATTTCCTCATGAGGCCTCTTAGGCAGTGATGAGCTTGGTAGGTGGATGGGCATTAGCTAAACATGAGTTTTGGATAGCTTGAAGTGCTCAGTGTTGATGTCAGAGGCTCCGAGCCAACAAGGTCATCCATGTACTTTCTGTGAAAGCAAGAACAAGTCTGTCGTGAAGAGGGTCCCATGAGGACTTCAGCCGGTTCAGAAGTTACTGATCATGGGCGAGAGAAAATTCCTGTAACAGCTGGAGTGGCAGTTTATTGTGGCTTGAAGGCATGTGAGCAATAAACACAAATACCCCTCACAATGGAATTGTGGATCAGGAGAATTCTAGGACCCTGCAAGTTAAGAGATTTACCAGGCTTCCGGGATCCACAGAA